AAATGGGTTAAATCTAGGATTCGGCGGGGCGGCTGATAAGCTTACTATATTATACTATACCTTTACTACTATATATAATATAGTATATATAATAATATATATATATACCTAACTTTAAACTAATATACTACTAAAGAAACCTATAATATATATAGTATAAGTAACTAACTTGCCCTAGAATATTTATAACGTAGAGTATAATCTTTAGTAATACTACTATACTATAATATAGGAGTGTTGTTGTAATAGACGCCTTTATAGAACTTACTAACCTATTATTATAGGATAGTTTAGATTATAATTTTATATACTAGGTATACTACCTAGTCTCTTAGTTATTGTTATAGCGTACCTAGGTGGTAGTATGCTGCACGCCTATACCGTGTAACAATAAGGCAGAATTGCCTGCCTATTGTTCCATGCCGAGTCAGGCCTAATAAAGGCCCGACTTACTAATGTATATAGAGAACAGCTTGCCTATAGTTAGGATAGGCATGTTCTTCTTGTCCTTTCGTACAAGACCTATAGGTATAGGAATCTTATCCTTTTCTATATAGACGCGCACTCCTATATACCTTTAAGTTCTATAGGATACCTTTAAGATGCCCTACCTACCTAAAGTTCTTATATTATAAGAAGAAATATTATCCTAGCTAGTAATAGTATTTAAGAATATCGCACTTGTTATTATTTTAAGCTACTAATTTAGTTCTAGTAGCTACCTAACCCTGCAACTCCACAGTTAGAATAGCTATTAGAACTTCTAATAACTAAAGCCTATAGGTTTAGACTTCTAGACCTATAGGTGGTGCTAGATTACCTTTAGAAAAATCGCGTTAGATTGCGTTAAGGTAGAGACCTAGAGACTACTAAAAGCCTAGAGGAATTAGAGGCAAAGCTAATATCCTCCTACAACCAAACCCCCTAAAAGAAAAGAAAAGATTTATTATTCTTATTAACTACAAAATATTAGACAAAGGTAAAGGAAGGGCATCTAGTTTAGCCACTTTTAAAAGCCTATTCACTAATAGGAAGAAATTAGATAAGGAGGACTTGATCGACAACGCCCTCCTAGAAGGACCCTCTTCCTATCTGTCTCTTAAGGTACCTTAGGCTCCTAGGAAATCTTAAAGCAACACCTCCCTTAAAGATAAATATATATTAACCCTATCTAAAAAGGAGAGGTTAGAAGAATAAGTTAAGCAACTTACTAATTAGTTGTACAACACCTCCCTCTATAAGGAGATATAGGGTACTACCTAACCTAGCTAGTCTTTAGCTTCTATATTAAACCCTATAGTATATACTATAAAAGCTAAGAGACAATCTAAAAAGACGCTAAATATACTCTCATAACTGGTACGCTAATTAGTGCTAATCCTACTTTTAGATAATAGCAAGCATCTATTTAGGATAGGCTAGAGATTAACACTAATTACTACCCCTCTTCTAGAGCTTAAATAGCGTTAGTCTAGGGACACTGCTTAGGGCTAGCAAGAGAATACTTAGAGCTACGTTACCTATCTAATTCCCCTAGCCTTTAATTCTAAAAAGCTAAGGAAATAATTACCCTCCTTTAAACTTACTTTATTACTAGAAATAAGATAGCTAAGAGTTAGACTGTATTTAACCGCCTATATATAACTAATATAGAGATGTTCCCTATTTTTAAGTTATAATTCTAGAGTCTTGCTATTAGAGGAGAAGTACCCTAATTAGAGTAGTATTACTACCTCTAGATAAAGATTACACCTTCCCTAAGGATACTAAACCTTGCTTTCTAATAAAATTAGCACAATAATTTTAAGACTATAGTAGATTATCTTACTACTTTTAATATAGAACGCCGCCTATACCCTACCTTATCTACTCCTACCTAGACTACTCTATTATTTAGAAAAGGACTAACCCCCTTCTAATACTCTAGAAACTAGTCCTATTTAAATGCTAATTAGAAACCCTATAATAGACCTTTAATAGCTAAACCTTATATACCCTACTTATAATAATAAGGCACTACTCCTTAAAATAATTAACCCCTATATGCTACGCTAGCTACTCCTAGCACTACTATAATAGGAACCCTAGTAAC